ATATTAAAAGTACCAAAGCACAATGCTTATTGCGATTTATTGGATGGGAAGTACCCTTCAATGTTCCATCCATTAACTGAAAACAGGCTAGACTAATTGATTCTTAGGATTTAAGAATCGATATCCTTCTGAAAAATGAGAACGGAGACGTCACGTCGGTGACCGATGAATTGGGATCTCGCTTCGAGAGACCAATCTACTTCAAGTGTAACTAAATGAGCCAATGCACATTGGCATGCAGTTATTGCATCCAGCTGCCGCTGATCACAGCGTGAGCATAAAAAGTCAGCCGTTGCAATGCATACCAGCTTTTCACTTCGGAGCCGAGCGACAACATCGTTCTGCTCCATCCAAGTGTCTTCAGTGAGCTACGAGTTCAACGAGCTCTTGGAAGCTTCTGGTGTTGGCGGACGGCACTTCAGCGGTGGTCGTTCCTGTGTCGAGTGGGTTGCGCACTTCAGGCTGCACTACCCCCTGTCGTGCTACAAATGGCCGTTTCCCCTGTGCATCTCAGCACGTAAAAGAGCATTTCCCTAAAAGAGAGGGTTACATATGTAACCGAGACGTTCCCTTTCAGTCGGTCACTACGAGTCACATCAGTGACCGACGAATTGGGATCCCTACCAAAGCGCCATGGATGCTGCCCCTTCCAGTGTCCTGTGCAAGCCACCTGCGCCCCTTTGTGGTGTAGGCCGGAGCTTGCAACAAGGAGACCAGTCACTGTTGTCATAGCACTACCCACTCAGTGAGATTGGATAACACTGGGAAAACGTACCCGTTCCACTTGGAACAGGGACGCTGCGGAAACCCCATCCTTCCCGAAGGAGGTTTCAGAAGCAAATACACATATGAACATCTGTTTAGGTGCATATGGAAAATTGGAGGTGATTGTAACCCTCTTGGAAATGGCAGAAGTCTGCCGGGGAAACACGGGCTCTGAGGCTATAGCATGGACCTTACACATATGGGATCCACTTAGGTCTCACTTATGAAATCCAGCCTTCTAACGGTTCTCGAGGATTCATCGAGTGAAGGCCTGGCGCCGGACGTTCCGCCACGTCCGGCTGCTGAGGGGATGGAGGAGCTCGACAGGGTCTACAGTGCGGACACTCTGGAGAAGTTTCCAGCAAGCCGACACTAAACCGAGGCCTCTCAGTGCCTCTAACTGTTTGAGGTGAGAACACAGGAGGATACCGGCTCCACACGAAGGCTATAGGATCTAGCGAACGTGGGGGTCAGCCAGCCCACAGCTCTACAAGTATCTGTCAGCGAGGCGCCACGAGCCAGCGCCCAGGAGGATGCAATACTCCTAATAGAGTGCTCGAAACCTGATGGCATCCACAATCCAGTGGGCCATCCTCTGCTTAGAGACGGCCTTCCCCTTCTGCCGGCCTCCATAACAGACAAAGAGCTGGTCTGAGGTCCTAAAGCTTTGTGTCCGGTCTACGTAGCATCTCAAGGCTCAGACGGGATAGAGCAAAGCTAGGGCTGGGTCTGCCTCCTCCGGGGGCAGCGCTTGCAGGCTCACCACCTGATCCCTGAAGGGAGTAGTGGGAACCTTGGGCACATAGCCGGGCCGGGGCCTCAGGATTACCTGGCAGTCAGCCGGCCCAAACTCTAGGCATGAATCACCGACCGAAAATGTGTGCAGGTCCCCTACCCTCTTGATGGAGGCCAGTGTAAGCAGGAGCAGTGTTTTCATTGAAAGAAACTCTAGCTCAACTGACTGCAAAAGGCTCAAATGGGCCCTGCTGTAGTGTTTTAAGCACCAGAGACAGGTCCCAAGAGGGTATGGAGAAAGGACGTAACCTCTCGGCAGGATACCGGCTCCACACGAAGGCTATAGAATCTAGTGAATGTGTTGGGGGTCGCCCAGCTCACAGCTTTACAAATATCTGTCAGCGATGCACCACGAGCCAGCGCCCAGGAGGATGCAACACTTCTAGTAGAGTGAGCTCGCATTCTGAGCGGACTGGGCACAACCTGTGCCTGATAAGCCAGGGTGATGGCATCCACTATCCAGTGGGCCATAACACTGGGATCCCAGTGATCCCTGAAGGGAGTAGTGGGAACCTTGGGCACATAGCTGGGCCTGGGCCTCAGGACTACCTGGGAGTTAGCCGGCCCAAACTCTAGGCACGATTTGTTAACCGGAAATGTGTGCAGCTCCCCTACCCTCTGGATGGATGCCAGTGCAAGCAGGAGCAGAGATTTAATTGAAAGAAACTTCAGCTCAACTGACTGCAAAGGCTCAAATGGGCCCTGCTGTAGTGATTTGAGTCAGGTCCCAAGAGGGCATAGAGGGGGGTCGGGGAGGAATTAACTTTCTCACCCCCCTAAGGAACCTGATGACCAGGTCATGCTTCCCTACCGACTTCCCTTCCACGGGGTCATGGTTAGCAGCAATCGGTTTTTTTTTCTCCTTTTTTAGCGACATAGACTTAAAGGGTGGAAGGAGACAGCCTTCGCTCCAACCCTTGCTGAAAAAAGGAAAGCACGACCCTGATCGGGCATCTCCGGGGGTCTTCTCGGTGAGAAGAACACCACTCGACGAACAGGTTCCACTTCTAGGCATAAGCGTGTCTCGTAGACGGTAGGTCACCTAGAACCTCTGCGTCCCGTCTAGGGGCCAGACATGAAGTTTCCAGAGATCTGGACATGGGTGCCACAGGGTGCTCCATCTCTGAGTCAGTAGATCCTTCCTCAGAGGAATCTGCCAGGGAGGGGCTGTCGCGAGGAGCATTATTTCGGGGAACCAGGTACGAGTGGGCCAATACGGCGCGACAAGCAGGACCTGCTCCTCGTCCTTCCTGACCTTGCACAGCGTCTGTGTGAGAAGGCTCACTGGGGGAAATGCATACTTGCTCAGGCCCCGCGGCCAGCTGTGTGCTAGTGCGTCAGTGCCGAGAGTTCCCTCGGTCAGGGAGTAGAACAACTGGCAGTGAAAGGTTTTTGGAGAGGCAAACAGGTCTACCTGAGTGGCTCCGAAACGTCTCCAAATCAGCTGGACCGTCTGGGGATGGAGTCTCCATTCTCCCGGGAGCGTAGCTCGTGACAGCTCGTCGGCC